TTTTGTCAAGTCTCAGTGCATTCAAACCCCAAAAAACGACATTTCATTGATAAAGTTACGGATACATAATGACATAAAAGCGACACAGTGGACATTGGGCGATGTGGTCGTGAGCAGGCAAAGCCACGCAAAAGGTCGAGTATTCAAAGTGCTAACTTGAAGTTTTCAGGTTCGAAACTCCCCCGAGTTTTTTACATGTGCACTGCTGACGATTCCCAATAGGGATGGAACAGCTGTACGGCGTCTTTTCAGCATAGATCGGCTTCATCCATGAAGCTAAACCTCAGTTGGAAATTACCGAATCTGCTTACACTACTATCAGTCGGTAAGTAGCTCAGAGGAAAATAATTTCACAGGGTGAGTGGAGCTCCTATCTAAGGTCACCACCTGAGTTGCGAATTAATCACATTACTTACCAGCCGCTGGTGCTCGAACGTTTACTAGTTCAACCCACTAGTACGTAGATTGCGTATTCGGAATTACCTTGAGATTGATGAGATGTGAGCTGTTGCTACTGATTTTCAGTGAGGATGAAACAGGAGTACAGTACTTCTCGGCGTTTCAGCGTAGATTGGTTTCAAGTACAGGACGAAATACGTTTGACTTCCAAAAGGCATATTTTTATCATTGTTTGCTCGCTGACAACTTTTGCGTTGTGTTTTCGATACGACAAATGAGGATACACCTGATCAATCAAACGAAGTATGATTGTATGGTATATACAGAAACGAAGGCTCCTTGTGGTCCATTACGAAAGGTTAGCCTAAGAAATCCGTGCTGCTGGAAAACAATATACTGAGTTGAGAATTAAGCCCAATCAAAGTACTCAATCAAGGCCTATGGCTCAAAAGTCTGACCACATGAGTGCCGACGTATTATCACTGCAGTAAGCGTCTATAAGGAATAAGCCACCATGTCTGTTCCAACCATAAGTCTGGAGTACCAAGAGACCGCGCCCATCGGAGCTCTATCCAGTGGCCAACCTGGTACGAGAAATATTGCGAGTTTCGAAGGGAAAACTTCCAGTATATCTGAGTGGGTCAGGGATACATGAGCCACTAGAACACAGTGAGCTCCAGCCCCCTTGTATCAGAACTCCTATGATACTCCTCAGCCGAGTTTTCAGCACAATGTTTCAGTTGGTACGAGACTGAAGACACCTGGTCTATTCTCCTGACGGTACACTACCCATAAAATTACTGAAAGTTCCTTGACAGCCAACTACCGGCTTTGCCCTTTTTGAAGCTCATCAAGAAGGCGTGATCCCCTAGTTTTGTCAACATTATGTTCCACTTGAAAACAAATAAGTACGGAGGATGAAGCTGGAAGTGGGCTGCCGAACTATTTCGGCGAACTCATGAGCAATATGTTCCATCAGGAAAGAACAATAATATCTTGACAAGTCATGTGCTATTTGTAGGTAAATAATCTTGAAACTGTTGCGGTCAAATTGGTTTAGAATATGGAGTTAACACAACAAAAGCCAACACGGACTTAGTGTGTGAGATAAGATTAGTAGCTGTGTTGTGGAATATAGGTAGTTCAGGTGCGCTGCTTGGTTGTCAGTCTGCTCGTCGGGCTTGACAGCTGGACTGCAAACGTTTTATCAGTAATCGAGTTTATATCATCAAAAGGGAGGGTTCAGTGGTTTGGTTGCAAGTGAGCAACCTTACCTGTTATGCGAGTCGTTAACTAGTGAGTTGTACTCAAAGATTGTGGCCGAGAATAACCTCCTAGATAGACTTTCATGACCTGCATCCAACTCTGTAACCTACAAAATGCCTCATTATGCCACACGCACTGAGGATTTCATGTCGGCTGGTGACAAAGCTCCGCGAAAAAATGGTAGGCTCTGCGGAAACTTTGACCACAAACTTGTCGCATTCTACTGCCGAGGCATGTCTCATCTGCGGGAATGTTTCATGAAGAATAACCTTTAGAATTTTAAATATATTCACTGCACCGTGGAAACTAAGTAATGAAATTCATTAGAAATATCAAAAAACGAGAGATTCAGCTGGGTTCCAGGTGCTTCTCCCGCAAAATCGAATTTGTTTGCAAATAAGTCTGTTTCGCTAATTTCGTGCAATTTAGATTTAGGTAGAACATAAGCATGGCTAAAACTCGGAGAATAGGCCTACCTGATGAGCCCCAGAAGGGCGAATGCAAATAAGTCTGTTTCGCTAATTTCGTGCAATTTAGATTTAGGTAGAACATAAGCATGGCTAAAACTCGGAGAATAGGCCTACCTGATGAGCCCCAAGAAGGGCGAAATCGGTCGTGAGCTGTCGAAGAATTTTCAGCAACATTGTGAGTAGTATTTATGCTATACAGTGTTGAGCCGCCTATGTGAGCTTAGAAACGGTTAGAAACCTGAATAACTTTAACTAAAAAGCAGAGAGAAGATTGGAATGGGTGAACAGGGTAGATATTTGGGCGATCGATTGGAAATTGCTATAGAAATCGGAGGAATTCTTTGGCTCTAAACGGAGCAATTTTCAAAGGATGAAATAAGTTCGGACACCCTGTTGCACTGAAAATGTTAGACGCCTGAACCACAAATGAACAGAAATTGAAATATCGATACTTTGAAATTCAGTTGGTGGGTTTAACAAACGATATTTCAAGCGCATATTTTCCACTGAATGAAAGATACGGGAACACCAGAATGAGTCTACAGTTTTAGAAGAGGTCTGAAACTTGGTAGAAGACATTCAAAATCTGTAATCAATACTACAATCAAGGTCATCACAGTTAGGAACTAATTCACCTGTTTTCAGTCTGAATTTTTGCAAGACAAACAATTCTCTCTCTGATTGGAAGCACTTCGCAGTCCTCTAGAACGCCATTACAATAAACGAGTCAAGTGTGATAGGCTGGGGACTGTGCTCCACAAGGACTGCGGGCGATTCAAGTTCACAGACATTGCGCAGGTTATGGTTGGCCGTGATTTCAGAATGGACACTGCGAATCAATGACGGTCGAAACGAGTGGTACGAGTATTCCTGAACTAAGGTGAAGTGCCCGCAAACAGCATCATCATCATCGACAGCATGACATCAGTGTTCATCATCGATGCTTTATTTTTTAGGTATATTTGTTTACTTGTGATATGCACTTGACGCAGCGTTTCAAGGTCGTTGTCATTTAGATGCCCGCTAACTAGACGTGATCCGGGACTCACTCGTGTCTTCTTTCCAACTAGGTAACAAGACTGGGAACAGAAGATCGGCCAACGTATGCTCCGTCGGTTACTCCGATCTATTTTGTTTGAGTAAGGACGACTTGTGGGATGCACTGAGAGAGTACCCGGAAGCCAAAGAAATCCTCATGAAACGCGGTGAAGAGATACTGCGCAAGGATAATCTCATTGACGAAGAAGTACTACGGAAAGCCAAAGAACAGAAGGAAAGTTTGGACGAATATGTTCGCCGTTTGGAGGGAACCGTGAATAATTTGAGCACAAGGCTAGCCAGACTTATCGGAGAGTATGGGGCTAGCCAAGCGAAACTGAAGCGTCGAATCACACAGTTGGAAGAGTATCAGTTTCACATGCAGAGCCAACAAACGGAACACAATGATCTTCAGCCAGACAATGCAACCTCGATAACGCCCCCTAAAAAAGAATCATATCAAAATCAACAATTCCTCATGATCCCACAAGACTTTCGTCATGCTGAGTCTTCTGACAGCGGTGGTTATCAAATGAGAAGGCATGATTCTTTAAGTTCTCTGGACTCTTCGTTGAGCAGTGCTACCATAAACTGAATACCGCTGGACATCATTCACACCAGTGACAAATCAGTCATACGTATCAAGCATCAGAAGCCTTGCAACATGCCCAAGACGTTTAATAGGCCAACAATTCCCCCTTGAGAAACGAGTAACTTTTGTTCTTAAGATCAAGGATGTACATTTCAACCGTAAAAGTGGATTGTGTTGAATCCGAACGGACCTCAAACGTTCGCTGAGTGATTTGAATCACATTAGTAGGCTAATTTTGTTCTTCTTTCGAAGCCATTTTAGCAACTGTAAGTGCAAGTGTAGGTTTCAAGTGTTTGCGTCTTGTGTGTACAATAAACTTGGTCTTCAGATGACAAATTTGTCAAAGGCTTGTGAAAAATACTTGGAACCGATTGGGTAGTCATCGCTTTCGGAAAAGTTTGGTGACAGTCGGTAGATTTATTGCTGGGCAGCGTTTCGCTTTTGACACAAAAGCTTCATCAGGCCAAGTGACTAGGTTCCGAGGTTGGTCGAGATTTAAGGCGGAAGGAGAACCAATCAGCTAAGCCAAACTAAATCTCTGTTGGGTGTGGGCCGAGGGATTTTAGTGTTAGAGTGGTTGAGCAAGTGTTGGGTCGGTGGGGTCCTGCCTAAAGTCTAGTTCTTCTGCTTCGGTTCATTTGATGGTTCCTCTTGAACTTCATTTGAACCCTCTGTTAGTCTGTGTGGGTGAGCTAGTGCTAAGAAAGTTGTGTAGGAGGGATGCTGTGACCTTTGGTCGGTTGGGGTTTCCACCCTACCCCCCGGTTTTTTCTAATGATCCTAAGTGGATTGACAACCACACCGTCACGTGTCAACTCGGCTTATCTAAGACCGCTTTCCATACGCTCGTAGCTCCACACTACCCAATCGGTTCCAAGTATTTTTCACAAGCCTTTGACAAATTTGTCATCTGAAGACCAAGTTTATTGTACACACAAGACGCAAACACTTGAAACCTACACTTGCACTTACAGTTGCTAAAATGGCTTCGAAAGAAGAACAAAATTAGCCTACTAATGTGATTCAAATCACTCAGCGAACGTTTGAGGTCCGTTCGGATTCAACACAATCCACTTTTACGGTTGAAATGTACATCCTTGATCTTAAGAACAAAAGTTACTCGTTTCTCAAGGGGGAATTGTTGGCCTATTAAACGTCTTGGGCATGTTGCAAGGCTTCTGATGCTTGATACGTATGATTGATTTGTCACTGGTGTGAATGATGTCCAGCGGTATTCAGTTTATGGTAGCACTGCTCAACGAAGAGTCCAGAGAACTTAAAGAATCATGCCTTCTCATTTGATAACCACCGCTGTCAGAAGACTCAGCATGACGAAAGTCTTGTGGGATCATGAGGAATTGTTGATTTTGATATGATTCTTTTTTAGGGGGCGTTATCGAGGTTGCATTGTCTGGCTGAAGATCATTGTGTTCCGTTTGTTGGCTCTGCATGTGAAACTGATACTCTTCCAACTGTGTGATTCGACGCTTCAGTTTCGCTTGGCTAGCCCCATACTCTCCGATAAGTCTGGCTAGCCTTGTGCTCAAATTATTCACGGTTCCCTCCAAACGGCGAACATATTCGTCCAAACTTTCCTTCTGTTCTTTGGCTTTCCGTAGTACTTCTTCGTCAATGAGGTTATCCTTGCGCAAAATCTCTTCACCGCGTTTCATGAGGATTTCTTTGGCTTCCGGGTACTCTCTCAGTGCATCCCACAAGTCGTCCTTACTCAGACAAAATAAATCCGAGTAGCCAACGGAGCATACGTTGGCCGATCTTCTGTTCCCAGTCTTGTTACCTAGTTAGAAAGAAGACACGAGTGAGTCCCGGATCACGTCTAGTTAGCGGGCATCTAAATGACAACGACCTTGAAACGCTGCGTCAAGTGCATATCACAAGTAAACAAATATACCTAAAAAATCAGAACCGAAGCAACGAACAAGTAGCTCAGAGGGAGAATAGATTCAAAAGATGAGTGAAACTTTCATTTGAGAAGTCGTCATTCAAGGGGGACCACGTGATATGAATGAGGAATAAGTGGTCCGATATCCTGTCGAAGGCAGAAGTTAAATTGTCGCTCAGTAGCTGGCGATCGAACAGTTCAGTGTTCACATTACTAGCCAATTAATCACGAGTTTTAAACTCCCCAGAGTTTGTTGAGAGGTGTACAGCTGATGATTCCCAACAGGTTTGAATCCATTGTGGAATGGTTTCCGGCTTTTTAGCTTCACTGACGGGACAAAACTTCTATTGAAAACGACTGAAGCGCTAGTTGAACCTCGCAAATTCGATCTCAATGCTAAACAAACTACATACAATTCGGGGGGCGTGATCCTCCAGTCTCCTCGAGGAGATTGTCTAGAGGTTTTGACAAAACCTAGCAACTGCTCTGTGGTAGTTCTTTCTATGAAATACCTTATCAGTGAAGGGGGCTTAGGCGAAAGTGGCCCTGGTTGGTTTCTCCCAAGCATGTCATCTCCTGAGAGTGGTAACTTCATTAGTTTGGTTATAACACAGGAACTGGAAGTACACAACGATGACCAATCTACTATCGGATAGTCTTTAAGGAATATTGCTTCGTTAGCAATACTACCTCTCCACTCCGTCTGGAGCCCGGTGGGGCGAAACCTACTCTTAGGTAGACGTAAGCTGAATTCGAAAAACAGAGTATGTTGTGCGGACCAAAAGCCTTTGCTGAAAGAAGTTATGAATATGAATCCACCGTCGACCGATTAGAAGAGTTAGGTAAACAGTAGTAGGATTGTTGTGACTAGTAGAAAGTGATTTGAATCCTCATATCTTTACATGTTTCTCTCAACTGCAGTTTGCTGACGGTTTGAAAAGTGGGGACGGCCCTGTGGATTGGTTTGCGTGATGACGGATAGGTTGGTTTGTGAAAGGGTGAAGTCTACCTGATTCTTGTAGACAAAAGTATGACGATCAGGAATAGTCATTCTTCCGGGCGAATGTAGCTTAAAATGCTCGTTTTCGATAGTCCGTGTTGCCTAGGAATAACGAGTGAGGCATGATCGAATTCCCCACGTTTTCTAGCTTGTTCATGACCCTTCTTTCAAATCTCAGTTTCACGTTGCCAACATCCCCCGTAAATGAAGTGCCGTGTGGAGCAGAAGGGCTGTCCCATTGGAAATGTGCCTGATCATTTTAGGGAGTTCAACAGGGTTGACCCAGTGAAATAACAAGCCTTTGACAAAAAGAATCATGCCTTCTCATTTGATAACCACCGCTGTCAGAAGACTCAGCATGACGAAAGTCTTGTGGGATCATGAGGAATTGTTGATTTTGATATGATTCTTTTTTAGGGGGCGTTATCGAGGTTGCATTGTCTGGCTGAAGATCATTGTGTTCCGTTTGTTGGCTCTGCATGTGAAACTGATACTCTTCCAACTGTGTGATTCGACGCTTCAGTTTCGCTTGGCTAGCCCCATACTCTCCGATAAGTCTGGCTAGCCTTGTGCTCAAATTATTCACGGTTCCCTCCAAACGGCGAACATATTCGTCCAAACTTTCCTTCTGTTCTTTGGCTTTCCGTAGTACTTCTTCGTCAATGAGATTATCCTTGCGCAGTATCTCTTCACCGCGTTTCATGAGGATTTCTTTGGCTTCCGGGTACTCTCTCAGTGCATCCCACAAGTCGTCCTTACTCAAACAAAATAGATCGGAGTAACCGACGGAGCATACGTTGGCCGATCTTCTGTTCCCAGTCTTGTTACCTAGTTGGAAAGAAGACACGAGTGAGTCCCGGATCACGTCTAGTTAGCGGGCATCTAAATGACAACGACCTTGAAACGCTGCGTCAAGTGCATATCACAAGTAAACAAATATACCTAAAAAATCAGAACCGAAGCAACGAACAAGTAGCTCAGAGGGAGAATAGATTCAAAAGATGAGTGAAACTTTCATTTGAGAAGTCGTCATTCAAGGGGGACCACGTGATATGAATGAGGAATAAGTGGTCCGACATCCTGTCGAAGGTAGAAGTTAATCAAATTGCCGCTCAGTAGCTGGCGATCCAACAGTTCAGTGTTCACATTACCAGCCAATTAATCACGAGTTTAAAACTCCCCAGAGTTTATTGAGAGGTGTACAGCTGATGATTCCCAACAGGTTTGAATCCATTGTGGAATGGTTTCCGGCTTTTTAGCTTCACTGACGGGACAAAACTTCTATTGAAAACGACTGAAGCGCTAGTTGAACCTCGCAAATTCGATCTCAATGCTAAACAAACTACATACAATTCGGGGGGCGTGATCCTCCAGTCTCCTCGAGGAGATTGTCTAGAGGTTTTGACAAAACCTAGCAACTGCTCTGTGGTAGTTCTTTCTATGAAATACCTTATCAGTGAAGGGGGCTTAGGCGAAAGTGGCCCTGGTTGGTTTCTCCCAAGCATGTCATCTCCTGAGAGTGGTAACTTCATTAGTTTGGGCCGGAGAGGAACGGTTATGTGGAGGAAGTACTTTATTCTTGAGTCAGGTTCAACGCTCCAGGGTTAAGCTTGATGAGTGACATCTTCGGCATTACTGGTACATTACCCGAAAACAGAAATATTCTCTCTTCAAGTGGTACTGTCGTGATTTAGTACAATGGAGAGCCCAGTGTGGAAAGTAGCGAGGTATAACACAGACCCGGAAACAAGGAAAAATCACGAACAATAACTGATCAAGAATATATGAACTTCCTAGTACAAAGCAGACGGACCAATCTTATGCAATCTCATTGAGTGTTATACCTTTCCCGGGGAGCATTCAACATCAAGAGCACTTGTCTTGGTTGAGTTGTGGTGTCAGGTGTCTGGCGAACCAGTCAACGTACAAAGCGATGTAACGGATGAGTGAACCGAAAGAGGGCTTTGATCCAAGATAAGGTCAATTAGCTTGAGTCATGCTCTGTGCTGAATTCTGATCATGTGGAGTTGTTCAGCTGATTTGGTTGGGTACCAAAGGAAGAAGTTAGGGACAGTAGGCTAGATGTAGTGTTTGTATGTTGTCTGAACGAAAGGGTGAAAAGTATACATGACAAGCTGTTATCTGGTCGTTGGTTTGTTCGCTGAGCTGGGCAATTTAATTGCAAACGTTTCATCACCAGACGAGGTGACATCATCAGTGCGTTGTTAGAGAGCATGGTGGTGCGTAGTGATGGGTTGGTGATTGTGCGTTGAGTAGTGTTGCGTGTGTGTTAACATACGTGCACCAGTCCGGGGCTGGCCTTCGATCACGATTAGTTGTTCGGTCGGCAGATTCCACCCGTTGTTCTGCTATCTTGTGTCCTGGTTCGTCACTGTCCACGTGTCCCTGATCTTGACATCTCCTGCCCTGGTACTTTGGTTGATGCTGGAGTAGCCTCTGTTCTTGACCCTTCCCAGTTCCGGCTTGTGACGTTTATTGTTCTGACTCCAAGGCGTTCCTTGTTTGTTTGTTTGTGAATCCGATATTCGGTTCTCCTTGAGTAGTTCGGTCGCGATTTTGGTCCCTTGCATGTAGTGGTGTGTAAATTGGATTAAGTCCAATGCATCAGTTGATCGAGTCCGCCATGGAGTACCATGATCCCAGAAATTACATTCCATGTTTCGTGTCTCCGTGCGCCCAAATATTTGCGTTTTCCAGATGCAGTTTGTAGCCTTCGTGGTCTTTGTGTATGGCTATCGGGGATAAGGGGTCAAACTTCTAACGGTGCGTTGTGTTTCTTTGTTCGTGTGCGTAACTTCCTCGCGGTATGGTCCCACTCAACATAGCAACCGATGGAACCTCCCGACCGAACAACTAATCGTCATCGAACGTCAGCCCCGGACGGGAGCACGTATATTAATACACAAACAACACTACTCAACGCACAACCACCAACCAATCACCACTCACCACGACGCTCTCTAACAACGCACTGATGATTTGACGTCGATTGGTGATGAAACGTTTGCAATCAGCAGCTTAGCGAACAAACCAAAGACCCTTGCGCTGCCTGAGCTACCAACATTTTCCTCTGTAGGCTAGTATCAGCTTTTGGA